GCCTGTGAAGATGGCGGTGGCAGGGGCACAGCCCTACTTCAATGCTGTGCTGCGGGTCTTCGTGGAGCAGCTGTCCCAGCAGCCACCCCAATGGCTAGACTACATGCGCTTCCTGGTCATCCCGCTGGGTTCCCACCCCTTGGCCAGCTACCTGGGCTCCATGGATTGCCGCTACAACAACTTCTTCCAGGACCTGTACTGGCGGGACATGTTCAACAACCTGGAGTCCCAGAACACCTTGCAGGACACACAGGACGTTGTGTCGAGAATATCTGGGTACTTTGCGGGGGCCAACTGTGTCTACCTGCTGCCCATCGCAGAGGTCATGCTCATGTCTAAGCAGCAGCGCCCCAATGAGAAGTCCTCGCAGCTCATCCCCTTTGTGGGGGCAGTGAAGGTTGGAAGAGTGGAGCCATCTGCAGCCATGTCAGGAGACTCAGATGATGTGGTCCCCTCATGCTCCAGTGAGCTTCTGTCCCCTGCCGGGAAGGCCTCACCCAACACACTCTCCGCCCCATCAATGAGTGGGGGCCTGTCCTCCACCAGCCAGAGGGTCCATGCAGGGATGATGGAGCTGCAGGTGGATTACTGGACGGCAGCCCAGCCAATAGATACGAAGACAGTAGCAGAGAATAAAGACCTGCCTACCGCCAAAAACACACTCAAGTGCTTCTTCCAGTCTGTCCAGGTCAGCAGGCTGCCCCGCAGTGGTGAGGCCACAGCAACACCTGCCATGTCCATGACAGTGGTCACCAAGGAGAAGAAAAAGAGGGCGCCCAAGAAAACCAAGGACGAGGATGTGGAATCCAAAAGCCAGTGCATCCAGGGCATTGGTCGCCTGGTTTGCAAGGCCAAGCACCAGCAGAGCATGCTGCCGGTCATCATCGATGGCGTGGAGTGGAACGACGTGACATCCTTCCAGCTGGCAGCCCAGTGGTCCTCCCACGTCAAGCACTTCCCCATCTGCATCTTCGGACACAACAATTCCACCTCCTAGCCCCGCCCCTCCCTCTGCCCTTCACTCTGCCTTGGCCAAGCCCACAGCTGCTTTGCTGCTTTTCTGTGAACAGTTCAGTTTACTACAGACACAGACCCTGGAAACCCAAAGAGAAACCATTTTGTGCGCTCACAC